GTCGGGGGGGTCGAAGGGGCCTGGGGGCAGCAGGAGGAGGGGCACGTGCCCGCACATGCATGCCCCTAAGCCCCCCAGTGCTCAGGCTGCTCCATAAGGCTCATTCTCCCGAGGGCAGCTTGTGCGCCAGGAGCCCCAGTGCAGCGCTGGTGGAATGGCTTTGGTGTGGAGATTCTTGCACCTTTACAGTGCACACACATGCATGCCCCTAAGCCCCCCAGTGCTCAGGCTGCTCCATAAGGCTCATTCTCCCGAGGGCAGCTTGTGCGCCAGGAGCCCCAGTGCAGCGCTGGTGGAATGGCTTTGGTGTGGAGATTCTTGCACCTTTACAGACCCTTCTGCACTCTGGAAGCTGCTCAACGGGCACTGGTGCCAGGATCCCCCCTGTGCCATCTCATTGATACAAATTGTATTCATGCCCAGCACAGCCAGGTCCGTGGCAGTGGCACCTCCGCAGGTCTGAGCTAAGCCCCCGTCACATGTTTTCTTTTCTTTTCTAAGGCGCCCAAACAGAAAGGTGGCAAGAAAGCCAAGGCTGCAGCGGTGGTGGATGCCGTCCCCCCAGAGGACATGGGCAAGGAACAGGTGAGAGTTCTAGGAACTCTCCTAGGGCTCTCTGCCCTAGGGCTCCACATGGCCACCCAACCCCTGGTGAGAGGAGGCCTCTCTTTGTAAGGCCTCTCCCCTAGGCCCTATCGCCTAGGTCACGCAAGGTTTGGTTCAACTCATGAGGATGGCAGATGGTGAAGGTTAGAAAAGGCGTTTCACCCCAACAGCTGCACCGCCCCTCACAAGTCTGAGCTTTTTACAAGGCATGGGTGTCACAAGAGCAGACTCAGTGTGGGTGGGTCCTCAGAGTGTTTAGCTAGCGCATCTCTCCCTCTCCAGAGCTTCCAGAACCTCCCTGTGTCCCTCATCTAGCCTGCACTCTGTTGCCCATGTCCAGGATTCTGTGTCCCCCTCCCACCCCCGCACCTTGGTCCTTTGTCTAGTTGTCCTAGTGTATAAAAGTGTTTTTGTGACACAGTAACGTTTCCCTCTTAGTGTAAGCACTATGTCTTGTGCAGTCCTTGTCCTATTGAAAAGAACCTCTCTGCTTGCTCTGATACAGGCGAGAAATTGAATTGCTAATGGAATCAATGTCTATTGCTAGGGCATTCATACATCCCATGCTGTATCTTCCTCTGCTCTGGGCCCAAGCAAACGAGGTTCCCAAATGGGATTGCATTCAGATTCAGTTCTACGATTGCTCAGTCTACGGCTTGCTGATCTGCAGTCATGCTCACTGTTGCGCTCTTATCGCAGCTGAGGTGAAGCCAGTGTTTGGATGAGAGAATGCGCTAAGTTCTGCGTGACAGAGGGTGTTAGTGAGTCAGGAGTAGCCCTCTTCCCTAGCGTTATTGTTTAGTATGCGAATGTCCAGAGGCCTCGTCAGGATCAGGGCCCTATTTTGCTGACTGCTCTAAAATCACATGTGAAGACCTGATTCCTGACCCAATGTCTCTGCACTCTACAAAAAGAGCCTGCGGTTCTGAGTCAGAACTGGTCGTCAGTGAATGCAGCACTGCTCTTCCAGATGACAAAGAGATCTGTGGGTCTGTTCCCTTCCCATCAAAAAAGATGAATAGCTCCCTTTTCCAGAGGCTAGTTCCAGTTTCCATATCTTAATGGCTAATTATAGCCTACCACCCTATAAAAATCCTGGGGTTTCTGTTGGATACGGCATTGTCACTTCCTGTCTTAAACTTTTGTATCCTGTTAAACAGCTGCTGTGCTCCATCCCAGGGGAGGCTGGAGGGCCTGCAGTAATGAGCTTTGGGGCCCCAGCAGGTGACAGGTGCTAGAGATTGCTACAGCCAGCAGTTCTGTGGGAGAGACTCTCCCCCACCAGTGCCTTCACCAGCTGCGCTTGTTGGCTCTGCAGCTGGAGGAGCACATTGTGCGTCTCCGGGAGGAGCTGGACCGTGAGCGAGAGGAGCGCAACTACTTCCAGCTGGAACGTGACAAGATCCACACCTTCTGGGAGATCACCCGCCGGCAGCTGGATGAGAAGAAGGCAGAGCTGCGCAACAAGGACCGTGAGATGGAGGAGGCCGAGGAGCGGCACCAAGTGGAGATTAAGGTGAGAGGCGAAGGGAAGATGGCTAGCGAACTTCAGCTGTCCTTAGTGGTGTCACAGCTCCACGCGTGGCTGTGCCCATAATTGGCAGCACACGTCTGTTCTCTGAGCGAGCCCAGAGAGCATGGATAAATGGGGCAGAGGGAGTTGCCAGGACCCTAGCAAGGGGTGTCTCAGGCAGTAGCTCAAGTTCACGTGTGTTCTTGTCAGCATTAGAAGATTCCCTCTTCTCATGCCACGGCAGAGGAGTCCCCGCAGCTGGGCTCCCCCTGCTCCCATCCCTGTCTGGGCCTGTACACCACTGGTTTCCCTTCTCCCAGGTTTACAAGCAGAAAGTGAAGCACCTTCTCTATGAGCACCAGAACAACATCACCGAACTGAAGGCCGAGGGCACGGTGGCCATGAAGCTGGCCCAGAAGGAGCACCGCACCCAGGAGACAGACCTGCGCAAGGACATGCGCACCTTGAAAGTGGAGCTCAAGGAGCAGGAGCTGGCCAATGAGGTGGTGGTGAAAAACCTGCGCATGGTACGTTGACAGATAATCGTGGGGCTGAGGGCATCTTAGACATCACCGAACTGAAGGCCGAGGGCACGGTGGCCATGAAGCTGGCCCAGAAGGAGCACCGCACCCAGGAGACAGACCTGCGCAAGGACATGCGCACCTTGAAAGTGGAGCTCAAGGAGCAGGAGCTGGCCAATGAGGTGGTGGTGAAAAACCTGCGCATGGTACGTTGACAGATAATCGTGGGGCTGAGGGCATCTTAGCGGCGGGGCTTGTCCAGCCTCCTCACCGCTGCCTGAAAGAAGAGTGCAGCAGGGACAAGAGAGCTAGTCTGAGGTCTGGATGGGACTGGCAAGTAAGGGAGATGGGAGAGCCAAAGGTTAGCTTGGCAGAGGGGACACCTGACGGAGACATCCAGGCTCTGAATGTTGAATGGAGACAGATCGGTTCCTGACGGTTGCCAGGGTTACCAGTGACAGCTGTGGGAGGGGCATTCACACTCTGAAGGAAGCCTGTCCTCTTGGGGCTGGGAGTCAGTCAGAATCCAGCATGGGGCTGGAGAAGCTGTCGCAGGGTCCCTGTGCAGGCTGCAGTAGGAAGGGTAACCAAGCCACGGGCTCCAGTACATCAGCGGATTCCCATGGGGTCAGGAAGGGTCTCTGGCATGGCCAGGTGCATTGTGGGAATTTGTGTCCTCCTCAGATGTTGGCCCTTTTGTGGGGCAGGCGACTGAGTGAGATGGACCCGGGCTCTGATTTGCTCTGTTCTCGGAGCTGAGCTGGGTGCTGGTGTATTGACATGAGGGTTCCTGTGGGTCGAGCCACGCTGGGGTACCCAGCATAAGGACCCCGCAGCACGTGAGAGGGGGCTGGGCGCGGGGTTTGCCAAGCAGAAATGGCCAAAGTCAGGGGGAAAGAAATGCCCCTGGAGAGCCTTGCTGCCCATAGGACGGGGGGTGCCTCAGACACGCCGCTGCCCCTAAGGCGGGGGAGGGCCCCTCAGACCCACCTGCAGGTTCAATGCTGCCTTCCCGGGCGCCCCAGGTGCCGAATGCAGCCCCCACAGCCAGGGCACACTCAGCAGCCCTTGGCAGAGCTGGGGTTGCTGCAGCCACAAGCCTTGTGTCCTGGCTTTTTGCTGCTGCCAGGCGCGGACGGCCTCGACTTGGATAAAGTGGTCTGACACAGGCTGCTGAATTTCTTAAATTTAACTTGAACCAATAAATGAGCCAGTTTTTAAAACAAATTTTCAGAATATTTGGTTTGTTCTCCAAGTGCCAAAATTTTTGGGTGGATGCATTGTATTTTTTATATGCAACGAAGTAATTGAACCTGCTTGAAGTGCAAAACTGTTTATGTATACTGGTGATATGCCTTCACTTTTAGTTCTGATCACACCTCTGAAAAGAGAGCAGAACTTGAAAAGGTTTTGAAATGGATGAAATGACAACTAGAAGTTTAAGTAAACATTGGAAAAAATGGGGCTGTTTAATGTACAGAGATTAACCCTGTATCACATGCACAGGGGAGATTCCTCTCTCTCTTTGGCTGCCCAGGTCTAACGTGCAGCTTCTCCCTGCCAGAAACAAGAGGAGGAGATCACCCGGCTGCGCAGCGACTTTGAGAGACAAGTGAAAGGTCAGTTCCTATTTGGACTCGTGTGTGGGACCAAGAGGGGAGCTCTCTTAGCACTGGGCTCCCTGCCCTGGAGCAAAAGAGGGCCTGGCACGGTGGGTACCGGTAAGCAGGAGGCTACCGATATGCCTACTGGTTAACTGGCCCCTGCCGCTGACCTCTGGTGGCGGCCAGCTGTGCTGGGCTGGGGCAGCCCACGGAGGGGCTGATGGGACCCGGAGGCGAGACCCCATGGCTGCAGCGGGCGTGGAAGTGGGATGTCTCGGCAGGGCTGGGCAGCGCGCCGGTGGCAAGCCTGGAGTTAAAACAGTTAAAGGAAAGACCCTTTTAACATCCCCAGGCCTAGCTGGTGGCTGGCCAGTCTGCCCCCACCCCCTTCCGCTGGCAGTGGGCTGTAAGGCCGAGAGGCTGGCGGATGTCCCATTCCTTGGTGTTCGCAGGCGCGGGGAGAGGCTTGTGTGTGTACACAGCATGGGTCAGAGCAGCACCAGCAGCAGGTGACTGGGTGCCATCAGGTGTGGGCTCAGGCCCCATTCTGCACCACTGGTGGGCACCCTGCTATAGTAAGTGCCCTTCCCAGGCTCTTACTAGCCCTCTGGGGCTGCAGGAGGCCTGGCGCTAATAGCAGGGTTCCATTTGCATGCCCTGATTGCCTGAGCGTTGCTGGTGCGCCCATGCCCATCGGGTCTGGGCAGCCAGGGTTTCCAGGCATGCCCTTCCCTCTGCTGGGAGTGCCTTGCATACTAATGGGAGTGAGTGTGGCACCGTTGCTTGCCAGCCAAGCAGCAAAGGGCTGCTCCCGCACTGGCTCCCACGCTCTCGGGGTGTCACTAGCCACAGGGGCTGCTTCCCCGCAGAGATCGAGGCCAAGTACGACAAGAAGATGCGAGTGCTGCGCGACGAGCTGGACTTGCGGCGGAAAACGGAGATCCACGAGATCGAGGAGAGGAAAAACGGCCAGATCAACACGCTGATGAAGAACCACGAGAAGGCCTTCAGTGACATCAAGAACTACTACAACGACATCACCCTCAACAACCTGGCACTCATCAACACTCTCAAGGTAATGCTAGCCCAGCCCCCACGTACTCTGGGCTGCCTGCGCTGTGATTGTGGGGGCATGCAGCACGCAGCCCCCCTTCCCCCCATGGCACAGACCACGCAGAGACGCACATGGTCCCAGCAGCTGGCCGCTTTGAGCAGCATGTGGAGTGTGGCAGGAAGGGAGCCTGCCTTAGGGTCCTGCTGGGCTGCTGGCCTGGAGCCACCTTGGGTAGACACCTCCCAGCCAGAGCCTGTCCCTGGCACCCACTGCCGCCTTCCCTCCCACTCCGTCCCCACAACCCAAACCCTCTGACCCCCCCCTCCTGCATCCCTGCCTCTGGTCACAATTTCCTACCAGACCTGCACCCCAATCCTCTGCCCTACGGCACAACCCCCTCCTTCACCCAAACTCTGTCCTGCACCCCAGTCCTCTACCCTGAGCTCCCTTCTGCACCCAACCTCCATCCCAGACCCCGCACTTCCTCAAGAGACACGTCTTGATGAGAATGGGGTGCAGGGTCGGGGGTGCTCGACGCACTGTCACTGTGCCCCCCCCATCAAAACCAGTTGCCCTCCCTGTGCTAGCCTGTGCCTAGCGCCGGCATGGGGACACAGCTGGCCACAAGCCCTGTGCTGGGTAGGATGATGCTGTGACGGTTCCTGCCTGTGCCCTCCACACGTCTGAATTGGTGCCCCACCGAGGGCTTTGGCTGTAGGGCCTTTGCCGCTGATTCGTGTGCTTTGTGAGCACCGGTCCCCCTTGCCCTCCGGAGGGCGTGCACGCGCACACGACTACCCTAGCGATCACGCAGCTGCCCCAGAACCAGCGCCACCCCAAGCCCTCTGCTGGGACGCGTGGGGGCACTGCTGCGTGCCCTGCTCGGGAGCCAGGCAGACCGGGGTCTCCTGCGCTGCCCCCTCTGGCAGCCCCTCAGGGACTCCAAGCTTGTGCCTGTGTCCCGGGAACAGGAGCAGATGGAGGAGATGAAGAAGAGGGAGGATCACCTGGAGAAGGAGATGGCAGAAGTGCTGCTTCAGAACAAGAGACTGACAGAGCCCCTGGGGCGGGCCCGGGACGAGGTGGCCGAGCTGCAGAGGAAGCTAGCCCACTACGAGAAGGACAAGGAGGCGCTGGCTGTGCCTCCGCGGAGTCTCCTCCTCACAGCACTCCTTGCGCTGGGGGCGGGGCAGATTGGGCTTGAAAGGAGGCCTCTGCTGGCCATGGGGGACTATGCTGATAGGTCCAAGGGACTCTCTGCCGCTTGGCTTACACAGGTGTCCCAAGCCTGGTGCCGTGTGGTAGGTGGACCTGGGGGAGGGATCTCCGAACTCGGGGGCGGGGGCTGGGCAGAGGATCTCGTTCTAGCGGAGGAGGGGGATTAATGTATTCCTGCCCCCAGCCTGTCCCTGAGCCACACATGTCTTGGGCAGGGAGGAAGGGTCTGTGTGGGCGAGGCCCGGCTTGGGAAGGAGAGTCTGCATTCTCCTGTGTCCCCCTGCCGGGGGCCCCAGGCATGTCGCTGAGCTCTGTCCCCTCTGCAGAACACAAAGGCCCGTCTGAAAGTCACCCAGAAGGAATTGAAAGACCTTCAGTGGGAACATGAAGTGCTGGAGCAGAGGTTCATCAAGGTGAGAGCCACGGGCCTTCCTTCCCCAGCCATCTCTGAACAGCTGGGGCCCTGGGGTGAGAGCTGCCGTCACGCTGGTGATGCTGGAGAGCCCTCTGCTCTGCCTGGCGTTCTTCTGGCTGTTACCCCAGCCAGCTGGCGCTGTGCTGTGGTCTCCCGGCACTGGCCCAGCCTTGCGGCTCCACTGGTCCCGTCCTGGCCGCGGCTGTCTGGTGCAGCGTTCGGCCGGGGGAAGGCGAGCGAGACCTGCGGGGGTGAGGGAGCGCTGGGTGTAGCCCAGCATCGGGGTCTCTCGTCTAGGCGCTGGCTTTAGGGTGTCCCTGGCATGCCAGGCTGCAGGAGTGTGCGTGGGGGGCTTGCCCCAGCTGGAGGTCGCAGGGAGCTTGCTGCGATTCGAGCAGCGCCCTCATTAACGAGCTGCCATTGGGGCAGCAGCATGGTCGGTGCAGCTGGAAATAGGCCGTAGGCTGTGTTGTAATTCAGAGGTGTTAGCTAGCCCAGAGCCGCGGTGCCTGAGAGCACCTTGGCCAACATGTGCAAGGCGAGGGGTGGCCCTCTATGTGCTTGGCATGGAGGCTGTTCTGGCACTCACAGCCATGGATTTGAAGGCCAGAAGGGACAATGGGGACCATTTAATCTGACCAGTGAAGCTCGCTCAGAGATCTCTGCATCGGGCCCATGCCGGGGGCTACAGTCTTGGAAGACCCGTCTTGGGTTGGAGAGCCCAGGTGAGGGGAATCCATCATGGCCTGAGCTGGCCCAGTGGTTAATTCCTCTCGCGTTTGAAAAGGAGGCGGCTGCAGCGACCAGAGCATGGTTTCAGACCAGCCTCTGGGCCACAGCACCACTCTGCTGGGCTCCACGGTTCTCGTCCCACATCTGCTATCGGCTCCCGGGGCGAACTGACCAGTCGCTCAGCCAGCCTGTCGTGAGACTGGGGACAGGCTCCCCGCCCCTGTGGGCTGATGTGCACAGAGCACTCGGGCCCCTGTGGGTAGCACAGAGCGGGGCTGTTGGCGTGGGAGATGGGGCAGAAGCTGGGCTAAGGGGCAGAGCCTTTCCTACTGGGAATCCAGCACAGGACACTGGGCTGGAAGGACCTTTGCACTGACCCAGTCTGGCCAGTCTTCTGTTCTTATGCTCCAGACTCCCCGTGCTCCAGGGGCAGGAATGTTAACCTGGCCGCTGCCAGGGCCTCGCTACCAACCTGGCGCTCCCCTGGGCCTTGCTGGTGCCGCTGTTCCTGGCTGCGGTGCGGGCGGGGGGCCCGGCAGGCCCGGGGGGGAGCTCTCCTGGCTACCCGGGCCGTGGCTCTCTGCCGAGCAGGTGCAGGCGGAACGAGACGAGCTCTATCAGAAGTTCACCAAAGCCATCAGTGAAGTGCAGCAGAAGACGGGCTTCAAGAACCTGCTGCTGGAGCGCAAGCTGAAGGCCCTCTCCAACATCGTGGAGAAGAAGGAGGTGCAGCTCAACGAAGTCCTCTCGGCCTCCAATCTCGACCCCAGCGCCCTCACCATGGTCACCCGCAAACTGGAGGTACCTGCCTGGCTCCAGGCTCCTGGGGGAGAGACGGCAGCAGAGGGGTCGCCTTTGGCTGGGCTTGCCCCCTCCCCACTGCAAGGCTTAGGGGCTTGGGGCGATAGGGCTGCAGGGCCTGCTCTGGGGCTAAGCACGGGCTAATCTCGGCCTCCAATCTCGACCCCAGCGCCCTCACCATGGTCACCCGCAAACTGGAGGTACCTGCCTGGCTCCAGGCTCCTGGGGGAGAGACGGCAGCAGAGGGGTCGCCTTTGGCTGGGCTTGCCCCCTCCCCACTGCAAGGCTTAGGGGCTTGGGGCGATAGGGCTGCAGGGCCTGCTCTGGGGCTAAGCACGGGCTAAATCCGCAGTCTCTGGAGAGGCCCCCCCTAGCCAGCTCCGCCGAGACAGCCCTCTCCTGCGCTCCCAGGCCTGGCAATCGGAGCAGCCTCCGCCCTGGGGGTGCCGGCCCTTGGCGGGGGGGGCCCCCCAGCCTGCCCTGCTGCTCGTGCCTCCAGCGCGACCCTGGTTTTAGCAGGCAAGCGCCAGCAGAGCTAGCCCGGGGGGAGGGGACGTGTCCTGGGGCGCAGGGACACCTGCCAGCTCAAGAGGAGGCAGAGCGGAGCAGGGACCGACCTGGAGGTGCTTTGTGACCCCGGGGGCCAGTGGGAACGAAGATGAATGGCCCCCCAGCCTGCCCTGCTGCTCGTGCCTCCAGCGCGACCCTGGTTTTAGCAGGCAAGCGCCAGCAGAGCTAGCCCGGGGGGAGGGGACGTGTCCTGGGGCGCAGGGACACCTGCCAGCTCAAGAGGAGGCAGAGCGGAGCAGGGACCGACCTGGAGGTGCTTTGTGACCCCGGGGGCCAGTGGGAACGAAGATGAATCTCGGGGGTCACTCCCTGCTGCTCCCCCACCTGCTTCCGGCGTTCTGCCCCCCCAAGGCACGCCAGAGCCCCCCGCGGGCGAGGGGGAGCGGCTGTTGCCGGGAGGCACTGGAGAAGCCGCACTCCTGGGAGCGAGCCCAGCGCAAACGGCTCCCTGGGAGCTTGGCCCTGGCACTTCCTGGCTCCTGGGGGGCTGGGGGCCCTGCGCCCCGGGG